TTAAAATGTACTTATTTAGAATGAATACATCCTAGAATTCAAGCATCATACTTGCAACAAATATTTTCTATATAATTGCTCAAAATCAGACTTGGCTAAACTCAAATTGCACTGGCTTTACTGAATAGTCATTTCATTCTATTTCAGTGAGAAAATGAACAAAAGGAAGTTTTAAAAGATAAAGTCAGTTTAAAGTTATATATAAATTTAAGTGTTTTGTCATCTTCAAATATATCAAGTACCTGCCTCTGTGTGTTACTGCTACATATTTACTGTACATTATTATTTTAATGGCTTCCCTCCCATTACTGCAGGTAACCATATTCCAAAAATTATCATAATATATGGGCCATGAAGTGTCAAAGTAGATAATTTCAGGGGGGGGGGAAACCATTGAGGAATAAGCAATTATAATCATGAAAATAATATCTTTTATGTTACTATTTCTTAACTCATTCTCTGCAACTATCTAAAATACCTGAAATTCAGCTCAACTATATGAGTACTGCTAGGATTTCTTTAGTCTATGTATGAATTTGTATATAATAGATTGTGGTTCACAATCTTTTGAAGGAAGGGAACATAATTTATACAAATTGTAATAGCACATAACATATGTTAAATTCAAGTAGAAAAGGGACTACATAATTTCTACTTGCTTAATGATGTCAAAGGTTTATCCCTTGAGGCACAATATCTGCAAATGTGCCTAGAACTTTACATTTTAAGAAGGTGTGGGTGGATCTAATGACAATGAGCTTCCAGAATGAAAAGAAATAAGTGGTGAGGGAACCATGCACATACCATTTGCCTTCACCAACACTTCCAGGGTATATTCATTGTGAGGAGCTATGTTTAGAAAGTGCTAAAGCACATGCCTCTAGTAAAAGTGAAATATATTTTACTGTCACTGCCAAATGCTTCTGTATTAAGTATCTTTGCTGGCAGTATACTACAGTGATAACTCATTTTTGTGTATACTGTGCTAGAATAACAGAAAAGGTGCTTATTGTTATTTAAAACCAAAATTAAGTCTAGCTGCCTTCTTAAATGGGATGTTAGTGGCTTAATTCAAACCAGTAGAAAAGAACTCTCTAAATTTCCTATCTTTGGTAAAGATGGGAAGGAAGGGAGTAAGTAGTGACCCAGAGTGGAGGGCCCTTTGAGTAGAGGCTCAGAGCAGAGTCTGGGAGAGGGTCTCGAGAGGCCTCTGAAAAACAAAATGGGGAGAATTGGTTTGGAGTTGTTGGGGTACCAGCTGAAAGAAGGTCAAGGAAAAGAACAAGAAACCAGAGCCTGACTTGTCAAAATGACCCAGAGGAATGGAGAAGTCATGTTCAATTTTAAGTTGTTTTGGACACACATCCCCACTCCAATTGGCCAAAACCTCAGTAAAGTTGGCTACACACTGAGAGTGGTTTTGTGTGGATATTGAGGGAAATGGACTGCATTCTGAGTCAGTGAGGCATGGGAGCCCCACAAGAGCAAAAATGTTTAGACAGAGTGCCCACAGGGATGAAATCCCCGGGAATGGGCAGAAGCCTTGTGGAAGATGTGGGACGGGGGCTGAAGGTGATATCAGTCACTCAAATTTTAAGCAGCAATATCATTTGTCCTATTATAAATTACTGTGATGCACATTTGGGATGGAGATATTTTAAACTATTTCTTCCACTTGAAATGAGTGCTTGGATAATTTTAGAATTCCCTTGTAATCGTCTCAAGAAATATGTGATTCTAGAATTAGAACAATCAAATACTTTATGCCAATTTATTCATCTAGTCTTACCTTCAACTTTATTTCAATTAACAAATATATTTTGAATATTGTTATAATAATTTGTATTTTATTGTATTTAACACAATACTTTATATAACTATTCTAAAACTTTTCTTGTATTGGATATAAAAATAGGTTTTTCACACTTCTAACTATAGCTATGAGAAAATAGCATGATGTCTTTTATCACAGCTAATTTTTCTGTTAGAAGTATCTATATATATAAAAGCCCAGTGACTGGAATGGCAGAAAGACCAGAACGACCGGTGGCTATGATGCACACTGCAGCAGCCAACCATCCTGATCCGGGCCCCAATCAGCCCCCCCGCCCCGGCCCCTACTTAGGACTATGTGAGGATTGTTTTATACCTTAAACAAAAGACCTCTAAGGATATCTCCTTCTAATTTTAATTTAAGAATTTATATTTTTTTTTCAAGAATTGTAGAAACACTTGATCCTCCTAATCTTCCTTTTTAATGTAAAAACTTACCAAATACAGCAGTTATTTTACAATGTACTTATTTAGAATGAATATATCCTAGAATTCAAGCATCATACATGCAACAAATATTTTCTACATAATTGTTCAAAATCAGATGTGGCCAAACTCAAATTGCATAGACTTTAATGAATAGTCATTTCATTCTATTTCAGTGAGAAAATGAAATAGAATCAGATTTGCAGCTGGCTACTGTGCGCCATGCAAGCTTTCAGTAAATATCTGCTGACTTGGCAAGGCCTTCAGTTCATGAAGTTCATGTCTTACTACTACTGCCCTAATCAGTTGAGACAGAATTAGCACTAGCTAAGTCGCCTTTATGCTGCCTGAAGGAGTTTGTTGAGGGTAAGAGTCTGAAGACAGAGATTAAGGAGTCCTCATCCTCCTAAAGTGCTGGGCATCCCAGATTAGAGCTCTGGGTCAGAGAAATCCAGCCAAATGCAGACCTAAGCACAGGGCACTCCCGCATTGGGGATTACCAGACACGCTCCACATTTAAAACGGATATCCCAGTATTCATTTTGAATCAAGAGCATTTCATCTGCCATAGCAAAGTGACCTTGGTTCACAATTTGTCTTCGTGTGTGTGTCTCTTTATAAAGAGGATACCCAGAAAATGTGAAAATTAGTATTTAAAGAATCATGACGGAACATAATTTATACAAATTGTAATAGCACATAACATATGTTAAATTCAAGTAGAAAAGGGACTACATAATTTCTACTTGCTTAATGATGTCAAAGGTTTATCCCTTGTGGCACAATATCTGCAAATGTGCCTAGGACTTTACATTTTAAGAAGGTGTGGATGGATCTAATGACAATGAGCTTCCAGAATGAAAAGAAATAAGTGGTGATGGAACCATGCACATACCATTTGCCTTCACCAACACTTCCAGGTGAAAATTAGTATTTAAAGAATCATGATACAGTATCTCCAAAATGGTGTATATGCAGAAACTTAGATTTGGAGCTTCATGTATCTACCTGGCTGATGAAAGGAAAGATCTGGCCAATCCCAGAATATTTCCTTGGAAGTGTCCCGATAGTATTTGCTTTAAAATATAATTTGGTTCAGGGGAGTGAAACTGTTCTGTACTTTGGTGAATACATGTCATTATACACTTGTCAAAACCCATAGAATGTACAACCCTAAGCATGAATTCTAAGGTAAACTGTGGACTTTGGGTGGTAGTGATGTGTCGATGTAGATTCATCAATTGTAACAAATGTACCACTCCAGGGAAGGCTATAAATTGGTGGGGGAGAGGTATATGGCAAATTCTCTGTGCTGTCTACTCAATTTTGTTATGAAGCTAAAAATATAAATATAAAGTTTTTATTTATATATATTCTTGTTCCCCGGTGCACAGATTTATGCACATTGAAAGGAAATTAATTAGAAGGTGGCCGGTGGGGTGGAACTGGGCGAGATGGGCCTGCCCTGGAGCCAACCTCCTTTGGTTCCTCCCCAGCCGGCCGCACCTGGGTTGGTGCCAGGGAAGGGCGTCTGTGGAGTGAGCTGGTTCCCTCCGGCAGGTGGGGTCCCTTGGCCTGGCCTGGGGGGATCGGGCTGAAACCGGCTCTCTGACATCCCCCAAGTGGTCCCAGATTGCAAGAGGGTGGTTCTCGGGTGATGTACCCCGAATCAGGCTCCCTTCTCTCTGGTTCTGGGGTGCATGACCCAAGAATCGCAACTGCCAAGTCACCGCAGCTCAGCAGCTCCTGCGTTGAGTGTCTGCCCCCTGGTGATCATTGCACTTCATAGCTACCAGTTGGATGGTCAGACGGTCACTTAGCCTTTTATATATATAGATATATGTATAATTTTGGAAAACAAAAGAAAACAGGCATAACCTGAAAAAAAAAACAAGGCATCTTAGTCCATTCAGGCTGCTGTAACAGAATACTGTAGTCTGGGTGGCTTATAAACACAGAAAATCCCCGGAGGCAGGAAGTCCAAGATGAAGGTGCCAGCAGATTCAGTGTCTGGTGAGGACCTTCTTCCTGGTTCATAGACGGGCATCTTCCTGTTGTGTCCTCATGTGGCAGAGGGGTCAGGGAGATCTCTGCGATCTCATTTCTAAGGACACTAATCTCATTCATGAGGGCTCTACCTTCATGACCTAATCACCCCCAAAAGACTTCACCTCCAACACCATCACATTGGGGATTAGGTTACAATATAGGAATTTGGGGAGAGGAAGGGGGACATAAACATTCAGTCTATAATACCAGGCAATGCTGTTGCTTTTTAAAGAAAATTTGGGCAGCAATAGATATGATAGCGGTAAGTAAAGAAACACTCCCTCACCAAAGAAACTAGGAGAGCCAAGTGGAGCTCAGAATCATAACACTGAGATGTGGCAGGTGCCAGGGACTCATTGTTTTCTCCAGAGACCTCCATGATATGGGGATATTTCCCTAGAAATTGGAAATAAATTATATTTTAAGTAAAAACTTGGTGGATTGGATTGATTAAAAAATAATAAACTACCATATCAAAAGTGTAACAACATTTTATAGATTACATTCATTTCCCTTGGCATTGCATGAAGAGGAAAAGCCAGACCCAAGAACCATAGAACGCAGAACAGATATGGTATCACGAAGGGCTTTAAATTATATTTAAATTAGGTGAGACTTGTCTCTGGTGCCTGGTTTCTTTATCTCCATTAGCCTGATAGCCTGTGCTCTCCACTTACTTCATTGAACATGTGACTAACAGGGGGGGAAAAATCCTGCTGTGTTGTTGCAGACAATGGACCCTGCAGAGCCTCGTAGAAATACGCCTGTGCCCGGCAAACCTGGCAGTCCAGAAGAAAGGTATCTGTGCCGGTTATCTAGTGGAATGACACTAGAAGGTAACCACTTTGTCTCAACTGCACTAGACACTGATGCTGCCCTGTCCTACATCCCCTTGCTTCTCTTCTGAGTTCACCTGCAACCATGGAGGTCATTTTCCATCTTGAGCACCTGCATTGCTCAGCTTCGCAGTCTGAAGGCTTTCTTCTGCACCATAGGACTTTGCTGGATCAAGGTCAGGCATAACCCAGATGTGAGGGAGAAGTGTGCTGACAGGAATTGCTGGGCAAATAGCCAACTCTTTGTCTTTCACTGGGACATTTCTGAGGTGTATACGACACAGATTCTTAGAAGGTCCCCGGCAGGATTGAGCACCAGTTGCCCACGGTAGTAACTCACACATAACTCACCCTTTATTGGCTTTTCCCTTCCTCATTTCACTTTCCCTCTCCCTTACGTGGGCTTCTTGGGATCACCTCTCAAATAACTACCTGCACTCAATCTCTTGTCTCCAAGCCTGCTTAAGGGGAATCCCAAATAAAACAGTCTCATCTACTTGTGGTGACTAACCTCCATGGCATTTCCCTAAGTTGGCATGTGTGAGGAAGAGGGGCGGTCAACCTCTAGGCAATCCTTGCTCCTGAGGAATTCTGCACTGCTCCCTGTCTCCCTTCCCCTTCCTCCTGATTTGTCTCAAGCATCCCATAAAATGCAAGATGAGCACTACATTTTATAATTTCAAAGATTCTATCCCATTCATTGGTAAATTCAAACTTCTTCAAAAGACAACTTGTGACAGAAATACAAGTTCATAATGTTTCTAAATGAACCACCAGGTTGTATCCCACGTCATTCTGTCGTGTGCTGGACTAAGGGAAGAAGGTGGCTGTGCACACAGTTTCATGTGGAGGGCCTGCGATTCCAAGCCACAGGGCAGCGTCCCTGCCAGAACCGCAAGCCGTGTCTGACATATGCCCAGCCCACATTCTTTGTTGGCATTCTCACCATGGCTGGCAGGCACCTAGTAGATATTTTTATTCGAATCCTGACAGAAATACAGTGAAAATAAATCAACACAAAAAACATGAAAACATTTATAGATATATGGTGAAAGCAAATGTTAAGTGACCCATGGACTTGAATTTACAATTTTGTCAGTAGGTTTGTCTGATAAAGAAGCTAAAGAAGTTATTGCTTATTTAAATACTGTATGTTTTTAGTTATTGAATCTTATGATTGTATTAACTATTTAAAATTTAAATCAAATGTACACAAGAAAGGAAGAAAGAATGAAAGATCACTACTTTGAAAAGCAGAATTTTTCTTCCTAATTTCCTTTTTTTTTTTTCAAATATAGTTGTAGGTCTCTTGGTTGGTTTGTTGATTTGTTTACTAGAGGCCTAGCACAATTTAAGTTGTGTGAGTAGGCACCCCGCAGGCTGCCGCGGGAGTCAGGCTGGATCCTCGCTACAGGCGGCTGGGACCCATGCCTGACTTCTGCCTCAGGCTCCCCCTGCCTGTGTCCGTTCTGGGGCTGCCCAAGCCGGTGTGGCCTCTCGGCCAGCCCCAGGCCCCCCTGGGCCTCTGCCTGTGTCTGTTCCGGGCTGCCAGAGCACTGCACCAGCTTGGGCAGGCCCCCCTGTGTCTGTCTCCATCTCCGCTCTGGGCCTCACCTGCGCGCACAACCTCCTCCTGTCAGGTCGTGACCCGTTACGGCGTCCTGGCTTAATTTGCATATTACCTCTTTTTATATATATACTAGAGGCCTGGTGCACAAAAATTTGTGCACTTGGTGGCGGGGGGGGGGGGGCCCCCAGCCCAGCCTGGGCCCCCTTGCAGTCTGGGCCCCCCCGG